ACCCAGTTGGATTCCTATCCGCTGACGTATCAGCTGGCTATCTTCAGACACGCTGTCGTCGACGAAGCCGAATGAATACTTGAGGTGCGGACGAGCAGGAGCCAGATGTCTCGGTGGTAATCATGAGATTTGGCGAAGCAAACGTAACGTACCAGAGATATCTGTCTTTCTGTCCGCAATATGTTACCGGATGAGTTGATCGAGACCTACATTACAGAATTGAAGGTTATGGCACTCAAATGCTACAGGTGGCGCGGTAGCGTAACGGACTGCCGATCGTACTGGTCAATTTTTCTGGACCCCGATCACGCATTGGTTGGTGCTAAGTTTAGCATGCGTTTCGGAGGATCACCTAATCGCTCTCATTACCGACCGGACGTCGCGAATCTACAAAACCCTGCGATTTTAACCAGGTACCAAGCCTCACTCTCAACCTTGCTTGGCTCAACTATTGACGGTGATCTCGATTCGCAGTGAGCGCATATCAAAGATGCTTTAGTTTCCGCCAGTATCGACACTTGTGGAGTTACCCGTCACCCACCGAAGTATTGGATTTCCGCCGACTCCTTGTCGCTGATAGACAGACGCCGCTTGCTCCCATCGGATTCCAGACACAGTGAAGAACGCCAATCTCTTGGTCGAGAGTTGTGCAGGAGTATGCAAACGGACCGCGAAGTTTGGTGGTGTGAACGTGCTAGGGAGATGGAGCTTGCTAGTCTCTCTGGTAATACCAGGAAACTCTTCCATCTCATTCGAGTCACCGAAGGTGTTCGATCTGGTATAAGTGAAACAATATGCGAAGAGGATGGCACCTTAATCACCAATCTTCAACGACGGTTGGAGCGATGGGCCGAACAGTTTGGCTCGCAGTTTTGTTGGTCCCCCAGCTCCATCTGCTACCTCTGGCGCTCGTGCTAGAGGCCTAGTGGTCTACCCCACAGATCCTCCCTCTTACAGGAATCGAGCAGGAGCTTCCGGCACTTGAAGCCTTATAAAGCCCACGGCCTTGATGATCTTTCTCCAGCTCTATTAAAATGGCGGCGCATCGCTGGTTCGAGAACTCACCGTTTTGTTCTCGAAAATTTGGTCGAAAGAGAAAGTTCCGTCATCTTGGGGTGAATCGATAGTCGTCCCTATCTTCAAAAAGGGCCTGCGCACAATCTGCTCCAACTACAGAGGAATAAGTTTAGTCCCCGTCGTTTGCAAGCTGCTGGTGTCCATCATACTTCGCAGGCTATCCCCAACACGCGAATCGTTGCAACGAGAAGAACAAGCTGGGTTTCGCCCTGGTCGCGGCTGCATCGATCAAATCTTCACACTTCGCCAGATCCTCGAGCTCCGCCATGTGTATCAGAGGCCAACGATTGCTGTGTTCCTGGATATCCGTGCAGCCTTCGATTCTGTCGATCGTACAGTACTGTGGCACTGCCTACTGAGGAATGGTGTCCCCGAGAAGTTCGTCTCCATACTGCGCGCTCTCTATAGTCTGACCTCGGGCAGGGTTTAGGGCTTATGGCATGCTTTCGCCTACCTTTGTGGTCTCCAGTGGAGTTCGACAAGGATGCCCTATCTCTCCGTTCCTATTCAACTTTGCCATTGAGGATGTCTTGAAGAACGCTCTAGGCGATTCGTTGAACGCTGGCGTTGAGCTCCTTCCAGGTAGTCGAGTTGTTGATTTGGATTATGCTGATGATATCGTCTTGCTGGGTGACGATCCACACGTCGTCCAACTTGCATTAAACCGCTTGGCGATTGAAGCATCAAAGTACGGTATGTACTTTTCGCCATCCAAATGCAAGGCTCTCTTCCAAGACTGGCAGGTGCCTCTGCCTGCACTCACTCTTGATGGTGAGACACTGGAGGTTGTGGAGAGCTTTGTCTACTTGGGAAGTTGCATCACTGCTGGCGGGGCTGTTGGAGACGAGATTTCGATGCGCATCTCGAGAGCAGGTCTCGCTTTTTCTAGGCTGAGGCATTTGTGGCGTCGCCACGACATTCGTCTCTGCATCAAAGGGCGGGTCTATTGTGCAACTGTTCATGCTGTACTGTTGTACGGATGCGAGACCTGGCCCATTCGTAAAGATGACTTGCGTTGGCTATCCTTCTTCTAGCACCGTTGTCTGCGGTCCATTGCCCGTGTGTGGTGGCAGCACCACGTAGGCAATGTAGAAGTTAGACAGCGTGTCTTGGGATGTGGAAGCCACTCTCTCGAGGATCTCGTCTCACTGCATCAACTGCGGTGGTTGGGACACGTATTGCGCATGCCTGCCCAGCGTTACCCGCGTCGTGCATTGTTTGCGGTTTCTGGACAGGGTTGAAAGAGACGGTCTGGTGGACAGCCTACAACATGGAGAAGCCGCATGAAAAAGCTGACGAAACAGTTGGCCTCGTCCGGTTGTTGTCGACTATCTGGTTGGGGTCTGAGAGATGCGGATACTTGCTGGTTGAAGACCTTGGAAGTTATGGCTCAAGATCGATGTCAGTGGCGGACGTGTGCATCGGTTTGTTGCGGTGTCCCTTCTTCCCCCCACCTTAAAAAAGAACAAATTGAAAAAAGTTTCAAAAACTGTGCGTGGTAAAATAGACAAAAAAGCTTTTGTTGTTGCTCTTTTCTTATTATTCATATTGTTTTCCTTTTCAGCCATGATTCCGATAGCACAATATCTGTACCACAGATTGTGTATAATATATAATATATTTTTCCTTGTATGTGGGACTCTCTTTTCGACCTCACTCAACACCTTCCGAGACAGAGAAATCTATACTTGAATCGGTGTATTGACATCTGCCTTAGCAAAACAATTATGTCCCAACGGATCTAGAATTCGCGTTTGGGCACAACAAAAGGACTTTGTGCAGTGTCGAAGGCCAAATAAACCCCGCCCTAGCCAACTGAGCGGCTGGATACCAATTGTCAATTTTGTCTAGCTTTCGGCAAGACCTGCATGAAGTGTACAAACAAAAGCCATTTTGATGGCTGTTGCAGATAGGCCATTGTCAGCGCGGTAGACATTGGAAGTCAACACAACACACTGGTCTCGATACTTAAAACGGTGTATCATGGAGAACAGAAGTTCCTTTTTGCTGCACTTACTACAAGGACGTCCAGTTCGCTTTCAGCTTGATTCAGGAGTCACCGTCAACATACTACCCGAGAGACATTGTGCCGGAGTGAGATACATTGAAACACCTAGTCTTAACATTTGGAACGGCTCAATAATACAACTGGAAGGAAATGTTGTCGTGAAGGCTTTTCACCCAAAGAACGGAACAGCACATCAGCTTTAATTCCTGGTTGTATCAGCAGATCTTATACCCATTCTGTCATTGATTACATCCAGCATCTTAGTTTTGTTTCACTTATCCGTGATCGCTTTGTTCACTCGTGTGAGGTTGACGCAGATATTGTTGACTTGTATGCTACTGTGTTTTATGGGATTATTTTGAAATTCGGGGGATGCGCTCATTTGTGGTTAAGCGAATCTGCTAGGCAGGTAGTTCTGCCACCTAGAAAAGTACCCATAGTTTTGCGCGAAAGGCTATTAGAACTGCAGCGTTTGGCCGGTTTGGGTGTCATAGCAAAAGTCAATGAGCCGACAGACTGCGTAAGCCAAATGGCAATCTTCCCTAAGAAATCCGATAAGTTGCGTATGTGTAACGGCCTGAAATCCTCTAATGCCTCGCCGACGCTAGACAATATGCTACCGGAGTGATGTAAGACAAAAATGTTCACGGATGTTCCCTTCGCTTCATCCTTCTGGGATGTAGCACTTAACGGAGCGCCGAGCTATCTTACCAAGTTAGACGTTTTAGATGACTTCGTTTACCTTTTGGATTGAAGATATCCAGCTGAATATTTTAGAATCAGCTACTGCTAACATTAGCGATTTACCTGGAATGTTTTACGTAGCGGATGACGTGCAAGTTTTTGGTACTACTGGAGAGGAACACGATCATCATCTTTTTCACTTTATTCAACGCTGCTGTAAAAGCTGAAGTTTGCGAAAGTCGAACAACGCAAACTCGAGGTGGCATTTCATGGATAGGTGCTGCATTCGGCAGGATTGAAACTGGACCCAGAGAAAAGCAGGGCCATAAACCAAATGTGTTACCTCCCCCCCCCCCCGCCGACTGATCCGAAGGCGGTTAACAACAGCGAAGCCCAACTTAACCATGCGCTCGGTAAGCATGGATCGGCATGTCTGGAGACCGAGCACAAACCAATGGGATGTAGCTAACGTCACAGGCCAGTTAACTAAGAGTTAACCAGAATAATCTATGTACTCTACAAATAACCACGGATCTTCTTACTAATGATTCGCGCTCGCCACTCAGAGTTTCCTCTTGAATTCCGGGAGCAAATCGGCGGTCTGTAACAGTACACCTCCAAGTAACTGGTATGCTGATTACCTGATCAGGCTACCTAGGTGTTTCGATTTAATGGCCCTCCAGCGAATCGCCAGGGTTCCTAGTGTCAAACGCCGGACCTCAGAATCACTCATTTGAGTTTTCCTTTCGCACGTGATCAAACTTTTGAGGGCATCAGCGGTCAGTGCAGTAATGTCCAAGTAGATGATCCTGCAGCAACCTGTTGACGCGCTCTGTCGAAACGTCATCCTTTTACTATACTTGATGGTTGTATTTGGTAGTCGTGTTTACCTTATCGTTGCTTGTGGTCAACTCTCACATGACGCGACCGCTTGAGTGAGTACAGCAGACGACGTAACTAAACTTTCCGACCATAATATAAAAATGTACAGTATCAATTGGACCGCACAGCGCTACGCGTAAATCCATTTAGTAGCACTTTAAACACTGATCGCATTAAATACACCATAATAATGCACTATCTAGCGTGCGGTCGTTTCAAACATTTGTTTAACTCATTCATTGATTGAATTCACAAAACATGTGTCAGTTTGTTTATGCTCTATCAACATCAACCACTCACGAGAGCATTGTCCCTTGCTGGTGATATTCTCAATCCATCCTTTTTACAGATCCTCTCCACACTTTTCTTGCCCTCTCTGGTCTGGCTTGTCTAAAGTCTGTGGATACCGTGCACACAACACAGCAGGATAATACTTTCACTCCCAACGGTGCATCTGACGACCCCCTGTCCAAAGCTACAGCGGCATTCCACTGGCTTCTCGAAAATGTCCTGCAACCAGTTCATCCAGCACTGAACATTTCTCAGCGTGCATTCGAGCGACTACGGGAACTGCACCTTTCTTGGAAAAGATCGCCATCGACTCACTCGGTCCTTTGAATTTAATCTTGATCTGTGATTTCTGTTGTGCCACCTTTTGTAACAACTTGACGTCTTTTAGACAACAATACATTTGCTTTTCCCAGATATCGAGTTTTCATTTACCCAATGCTGTTCTTACCATCTGTCTTCCTCCCAGTCCGGACGTGGCCCCGTGGAAATGTACACCATGTGGCTGTTCTCATACTGCATGCATAATGATAGGAAGGAGTCTCTGTTTCCCTTCCCTTGATACTCTATATTATTGTCAATGGGTAACTCATCGATTTAGACTTTGACCAGTCGCCGTCTTGCGATCGACCTCGCTTGATGTCATCGCGTGCTCTTTTGTTGTTGCTGTCTGACATACTTTTTTCACACCACGCTCCCTCCATCGATAACTTCTAGGACCACATTCTGAATCCACACATCATTTTCTACCATGTTCAGTGCGATTGTTGTATACCGCCGCCTTTGTTTAATCTAGTCGCTATCTGATTTTGACTTTGTTATGTTTCCTCTGACGGTACGGATAACAGACACAGTCACTCAGGTAACGATTCAGTTACTTAAACCAGAAGACAAACGCCTCTGGCGGAAATTCTATGGAACACTCGGAAGACAGTATGTACAACTAAAATATGGGGTCAAAATGAATAGTTCATGAGAAAATAACCTAATTGAAATTTCCTGTACTCCAGCAACTACGAAATGCGCAAAAACTCGCTTGTTGATTGTGCAAGTGAACCGGTTACTGGAGGGCTTCAAAGCAGGTTATTCTCATTGATGCACTGCAACATATATCAGCGCCATTGGCTTACTTTCATTGATTAGTCATTCAGTTTCAAGCGACATGCGACCAATCTTCTCCGGGGCGCTGCGGCGGGCCCCTTTAACAGACTTATCAAGGTCTTTCAGATATTCGAGAAAGATTTTGACTTATCTCTAATGACACGATGAGACCTTACAGAATGACACGAAACGAGCTGCTGCCAAGCTGAGATTTACTTGCATTGAATGTGATTACCCGTCTGGGCTGTTGTTCATATCAATTCTCATGCGGTCACACGAACCAATCGAAAATTCTCGCAAAATATCCTCTGTAACTGTCTTCCATGTTGCTGTTGTTTACTCATTCATCCCGGGCAAAGTAACCGGAATCCAACATTATTCAAACTTTGCATTCCGTTACCTAACCTTACTCTAATTGGCGGAAAACTGATGGCTATCGTGATGCCTGTTACTTACAGTAACCTTTAGGAATAACTACGTAGGATGCCGTGATAACACTATCGCTGCGTCCTCACAGTACCATGTTAGCGGAATAGCATAGATTTCTTTGGTTAGACGGTGGTGATATCTGCCGGGGGCCAAAAAGATTGCGCGATTCCCTTGTAATGCACAGGTCACCAGTTCGAAACCGCCTACGTGCGGGCTATCTCGTGGCATACCCAACCCTTGCGCTAGTGTTGGTGGTCGCGTGGCGACAAAGCGTCGCTACACTTTGCTGGCGTGTTGTTGATGCATTCTTTCTTTGCTTTCGGTCCGTGTGATCTCGTTTCACGCAATAATGCGTCGCACTTATTCCCTCCTAAATTTTATTGTCATAACGATCATGCACCATTTATTAGTGATTCGTCTATGGTAGACATTTAACGGAACCGTCATAGACGCGGTAATAGGAACTCTTACCTATGTCGCATATAAAGTAATGCTATGTTGCACACGAGAAGTGCGCAGCTTTTATGGATTGAAAAGCACTTCGTCGCGCTTTACATCATACACTCAGAACTTGTATTCGCCAACTTTATCTCAGGGATTTGAACCACGACAATCGGATCCATTACAATTGTATGTTTGGATCATAGCTAACTGAACTGGACGGGATGGCAATAACCATCTAGCTGGTCGTCCTCGGTTGGTCTTGCTTACCGTTAGCAATCATGACTCACCTTTGCCCGCACTGTAGCCATGGTAAAATGTAGCAAAACCAAGGTACTCATGGATTGAGTTTTCGATGGTGTGATTCGTAGACAAAAGTCCAGTGTATCCAAGGAGTGAAATTAGTGAGCGAGAATATGTAAATCTGTGCTGCTCCGTTGTAATTATAATACTGATCCTGTGTGGTGGCAGCAAATTGCAGTTGCATTACATCTTATCCGGGTGCGATACGCTCCCTATACCTGGAATCTCTAAAATGAGCATCAGGAAATCTCTTAAATTCCGACGTAGATTTCTCATCGACTATTGTCTCAGGCAACTTGTTCCAATACTTAACCACTTGAAGCATAGAGGGTGGACGATATGCTTCAAATCCGGTACCACCATTTTGTACTGACTTGTTGCGCGAACCTGCAGCAGTGGCCTCAACATAGGGAAGTGGCTTGGGTGCGTCATTATGAGTTTAACTCGGGTATACACCCCTATTCTCCTACATCGGTCCTCGTACGACATACCCTGTAAACTGGGGATGAGCCGGGTAGCTATATGCTGAACCCGTTCCAGTCTCTGCACCCCACCTATTGTGATCGGACAGTAGGTGAGTGGGACGTACTCAAGCATCGATTTTATCATGGGAGAGAACGGGCGAGTGGCAAACGCTTCAGACCAAGTGCAGTAGCTGAGTCTAAGTGCCCAATGCAGGCGTATTCCGTTTACGTGTAGTCTGTCCGTGTTGTCGACGGACTTCAGATCGCAGTATGAGAGTGCACCTAGATCATTTACGGAGCTTGTCGGATGCATTGGTTGGCCGGCTATGATGTACATAAGCCCATTACCATCCTTCTCCAGATTAATGTATGACGACTTGACCGGGTTGAACAGCAGATCAACTTCTGCAGACCTCGGGGTCAGACGATGGAGATCCTGCTGAAGGACTTCACAGTCGTCGTGCGAATCGGTAACCCTCCAAATCTTCAGGTCGTATGCAAATAATGCGCATTGCGACCGAACGCAAGGTTGCCGTTCGGATCTTGTTTGACAGTTGTCGGATATGGGTCTCTCACAGCTGAGGCAATAAGTCCTTTAGACTGTATCCAGTGAGGTCTGTGTCAATTAAACAGCGTTTTAGTCAGTTTTCTGACACTTTGTTTCAGCTCTCTGCGTAGTCACTTTTTTGTTGCATCCAACTAGCCGCAATGTCAGCGAACGCCGTGTATTGCTTTCAAAGTTCGCTGGGTGCGCGATGACTGCATTAACAATATCGGACAACTACATGTCGGTTAGTTATGTGCATATAGCATCATGATTCAGTGTATCACTTCAATTCACAGCTGTTGGGTAAACTGCCATTCACGCGTCTATTTAGAAGGGATATGCATAGCTTCTCGTCTTCCTGTGGTGCGTCGTTTTGGGAGCACGTCTGTCGTTGCGCGAGTATTAGGTAGCAGCGATATCCTTAGCAGCGACTACTTATTCCATGTCTTCCATGAGGAGGAACAGGAGGTTAAACCTTGACAGCATTATTGTTTCCCTCTGGTCACCTTTTCTACCATCCTACGGCATAGAGGGAACCAATGCTCGCGGCATAGTTCGATTTTCGTGAAGAATACTCTTACAAAAACGATAGCCTGGTGTAGACAGAAACTCACCTATGCATGTAAGACTAAGCCTGGCTGATCGTTTTATTTATTTGGGTGGGATCAGTTAGGTGACTGCAGGCGTCTATAACCGACTAGTCGTACTGGCGGGAATCGAGCTAATAAGGCAACTAGGCAAGCCATACGCAGTTCGCGTGCGCTGCGAACGTGACTACACTTAGCCAGGTGCCCAAGGCGATACTCACTTGGATACCAATCCAGAACGTTTGGAGCATTTATCCTGCAGCGCCGTTTTGCTAACCTTCAATTCTTGCACCATATCTCGTCACTAAGCCTTGTGTTCTATACGCTTGGTCCAGTTTCCACTTAACTTGCTATGTAGAGGAACCACAAAGGAAAAGCGTAGATTAACCACATGGATCTATTCGGGTTGACTCATGGCGAATCGTTCGTGTCTAGCGCCCTGAGGAACCGCCTTTTTGTCCAACTTTGGGGTCGCGTGAATCCACAATGAGGCAGCAATTTCGGCAGCCGAACTGTAACGCAGACATTCCATGATTTCGAATACAAATGGATGGCTTTGTATCATTCCGTGTTTTTTTTATGTCAATTTGCTCATCCTACTCACAAGGACACTGTGATTCGGCGCTTATTCGCTTCACTCGTCTTCTTTGATAGTTCCGGATTGCCAAACACTGTGGAACGTCGGCACTCAGGAGACGCACTGTCTACGATTCCTGTCTAAGACATGATCACTCGGTTACGGTCCCACCTGAACCACCTCATCCTGATGAGTGCTGTGGACTTGGATGCATTGATTGCGTTTGGTTGAACTATGCCGATCGCCTAATTGAGTTTCACCTGACCTCCTCTGGACTGAAAGGAAAGAAGGTAAACCCAAGTGATCTGCGTGCTGTGTTTGATAGAATCCGGCACCAACTCAACGGGGTGGATGTGAACTACCGTGTGTTTTTACTTCATGAATTGGAATCTCGGTACAAGAAAACTTTATCTGACATGTCCGGCGGCAATTGTGGTTAACTCTACGCTATGTACCATACGGGAGACCGCAGTGACAATCACGGGAAGATGGAATGTTGTGCTCAACCACTGTGTTGTACTCCGCATGTGAACACAGACCATATAGAATATAGTACCATTTGTTACTATCCACCTGCGCTTTTCTGTCCAGAAAGTATTTCAAAGCGGCGACGCATCAAAGTATCACATAGTGAGGCACTTCATAGTTCGTGAAAACGGTGTTAGATGCATTATCAGGACAATGCTACAGAGTTTCCATTGTAGTCAATGGTGGCCATTTGCATTACAAACACCTCAATCGGCGTTTCCTTTGAACACTAGTGTTGACTATCTGCTGGTCTGCCTTTCAATCATGGGATCGGACAAATTGATGCTCAGACAACGAGTAGCTGGGAACATGAATCAAGCCACATTTATGCCGAACCTCGAAGGTATCTTTACCGAGGTACAAGTGGGTTTTGGCCGCAGTTTAAGGATATATAACTTTTAATCTCGACCTTACCCTCAGTTTACCTATTTACAATGTGTCCGATGTGTTTGGTTTGATTCGCCTAATTCAACTGTGCACACACTAAATTTCCGCACATTGTGCGCCGGAGTAATTTCAACAGTTGTCCGGAGATCCAGTCAGCAGTGTTCCACAGCGAACGCGAACACGACTGCACCTACCTTTAGTGCGCACACACTTGCGCGTGGGAGCAATGGACGTCAATCAACCCTTTACTGTGT